GCTATAATTCTAGCATACTATAATTGGATTATCATACTTAAGAAGTCACAGATTATGAAATTACAACAAAGTTACTCACCCTTTCTAGAACACAAGTAGTTACAGGAGGCAAGCAAAATTTCAATGTAATTCATATTTTAGAACTTGGTGTTGTATATAGAAGAAGGGATAGACAGTGTAGTCAAATAAGAAGCATCTCTTTCTAATTTTTTGTAACTTGAACATTTTTCAGTGACTCTGGAATAGGAGATGATCCCTGCAGATGGCTTCCTAAGCTGCCATGGCCCCTGTTCATAGTCAAGTTTTATATAGTATGATGCAAAAGAAAAACTTAAAATATGGAGGTATTCCCGTGCCCTTTGTTATTTCTCCACTACCTAGGTAGATTAAAATATATCTGGCGAGAAGGTCTGATCAAAGTACACCTCATTCTGCATGGATAGCCTTGACCGGACATCGACGAGGCGCGGAGGCCTCCACTCTCCTCTAGGCTCCAGATTTGGCGTTCCACGACAGCAAGAACTATAGCCTAGCGACCCACTTCCGGCCCCGCAACATTAAGTCAATAACCGGCCAGGAAACCGCCCCAGAGAAGAGATCACAAGCAACCCATGACCACACAAAAACCACAGATCAGAGCAAAGACGATGCCTTGGGGGACCAATGGCGCGAGGGGAGCCAAATCCGGTGTTAAGATCGCACCTTTGCGTGTCCCAGCGGTTGTGGCGGTGGAGGGAGGGAGACGATGCCGGAGAGGAGGATGCGCGAGTGCTGCGTTACCGGGCGGCCATGAGTGCCACGAAGTTTGCGCCCACCGGCCTGGCGCGGCCATTCAGGGCTGGATCACCACTGCTTGATCTGAATACCAGAATGATGCATATATTTCCCTAAAAAAATGAAATGATGATATACCCTCTCTTAAGCATGTTCATTAATTTACTGGTAGAAAGTCCACATAAACTAAATATATACTACTAATAACACTAAAACAGTTACACACCGTGGGAATCGTCACAACAATACTAGCTATTGCGGCATCCTTGCTCCTAGTAGCACAGCCTCTGCAACATAAAAACTATATGTGGATCAGAACAAAAATTCTAGAAAGCTCCAAAAACACAGAATTTGAATCGTGAATAAATTGCACTATGCTTCTGTTCGCAAGATGACTCAACTTCTGAACTAAAACAGAACTGGTATGCTCTCCTGCTCTTATGCCTTATGATCAAGCAAATAATATTGCAAAGAATAATTAAATAGAGCATATTAATTCCTATAGCTACTGCCCTGCCATCTGTTGGCCAAAGCTCCAGCATGCACAGGGTCGACATAAGCATGATGCATGAACAATTAAAATGTAATTTAAGAGATGTTCAAAACATTTGTTTTTTTTTGTAAATCTGTCTTCATGATGCGTGAACAATTAAAATATAATTTAAGTTTTAGCATAAAATCGAAACAATATTATTTTTTGAAGAAATCAAAACAATCTTATTGCAAACTGCCATGACAAAACTCGATCTTAATATGTCACCTGCAGCTGTCCTGTTTATGAAAGTATGGCCCTACATATAAACAATTATTGTTTAAAGCTAAAGTAATATTAATTATCATAAACAAAAATATAAATTTGTATTGCGGTACTTGCTCCTAACTGGCTTATTTAGTTGGATGACATAGAACCTAAATGGAGGCCTCAAAAAATATGAAAGCGGGAGAAGCAACCTGAATACTATAGGGAACATCCAAACAGGAATGGCACTTCAAAGCTGGAGAAGCAACCTGAATACTAACCAAGTGACGATTGGCCACGAAAGTTTTGGAGACATATATACCTGGGTGATGATGCGGTAGGCGTGGTTATGCGCGGTTACGCCTAGTACTTCCGAGATAGATGGGTACGGCGGCCAAACTGTCAAACTGACGAGGACAGTGGACTTTGCCCTACCAAGAGGGCAACAGCGGTGGAATACGCTGGCAGAGATGTACTGATCCTTTGACGACGACGAGCCAGTGGGGAGGGCCTGGCGGAGACGCACGCTAGCTGTCCGGTTGGCCACTGGACGCTGTACCTTTCCTTTCTTCCATGGGCAGGACGAGCTGAACGACGGCTTGCGCGATGATCGATCCACTACGATGATCGATGACGGCCAGAGCGACGATGGTTTGTGGTGGGGTGGGGAAGCAGGATATGGCGTCTGATCTCGTCTGCCTCTCTTTTGTGCGGTTGTCGCTACAAGGAAAGAGAAGGAGGAGAGAATATGAAAATCCGGGCTTGCATGTAATGTGATTTTAGGAAAGAGAAGTGACGTATTTTTTCGCAAGCCTTAATTACACCGGATGGATGTCTGTTTCTTCCCTTCCTATTTGGTCGGCCGGAGACATGAGATTTTTTTCACGAGCGTTAGTTACGCCCAGATGGACGTCCGTTTCCCATCCCTATTCGGCCAGGCAATTTGAGATTTTTTTCATAAGCGCTTACGACTAGTGGACGCCGTTTGGCCGTAGGTTTCCGTCTATTAGTGGCATATGATGAGACGTGATCACGTGATTCTCGCATGGAGTGGCATTTTTAGGGAAGAAGCGCCGTGTGGGCCATTGTGGGGGCGACGACGCCGGGTGGGATAACGAGCATGGGATCGCACGCAGGCAGACCGATGACCCGACGTTGGATTGTCGCACCAAAACGATGTCCACTTTTTAGTCTTTTTAGACGTGATGAGAGAAGAGATTGATGAGCCATGCTAACGTGTCGCTTGTGGTTGGTGTGGTCTTTGATGATGGCAGTTTCCTTCTTGATTGGTTGCATGGCTTCCTTCTTGATTGCACATACACGATTCCTGTTTGCATGCACCATTGTGGCGCCGTGCATGGAAGGTGGTCTGGTTGCTCGGTTTCACGTACTCCTTGATATTCTTTCTTCCTTCCAAAAAAAAAGAATGGAGATTGGTCTATAATTAATCATTCGTATATATAGTCCTCATTTAGCAAATTGTATTGCTATAATTGTGCATGACTAATTTGGAAGGAAGAATTTTGTTGCAAGGGATGGGTGTAGGAGCGAGGGCTGCGGGAACTCAGCAGGCAGGACTATGGGCCCACGTTAGAATGTCGCACCAAAAAGTGTCCACGCTTTGTTCTCTTTAGCTGTAGGAATATGTAATATTGAACGCAATGAATATCTTTCGTCCGTCCGTCGCTCTCATTCTCTCACGTCTGCCTTTTGATCAGTCGTCACTTACCCTCACTTCTTTTGATCCGCATGAAGAGCTTAAATTGCTTAGGCATAGGCAAGGATCCCAGCCCTAGACGTCCGAAATCGGACACCATAACGCTCGCCGGACAAAGGCCCTGCTTAGAGCCGCTTTTCCCCACTTGACGGTGGGAAAAAGCACACGAAAACCCTCAAACAGTCTAGATAGGTTGAGTTCTAGTACAATCTCTCTCCCCTTGCGATTTCCCTCCACACTCTTTCAATGATAGATGAAGCCAAATCGGTTCATAGGGAGTCGATTCTCCAACCTCTCCCTACCTCGCCTTACAGACGCCATCGCCTCCCCTTGTTGCCCACCTCGTCATCCTTAGAGGCATGAAAGGCCACCCGAGTGAGCGAGTGACCGCCACCACTCTTGTCCTCGTTGCTGACGTCCCCGCCCCTGGCCTCACTGTTGCCATCCTGTGCGCCAACACCGACTCCCGTTCCTCGCACCGGCAGCCGCCCCCTCCCCCTGCCACCGCCGAGGATTATGGGAGGAGAAGATGAAGCCCGACAGTGCGTCTACCACCGCGGAAGACGTAGTTGTGGCCGCAGCCCGCTGATCCCCTGGACGCTATGGTTCTTGCCACTGAATTGTGGATTCTCATGGAAATGAGTTGCGAGGAAAAGCTAGCTTTGATTCAAAGCGTGGTTGAATTTTTTTTTGTCCCGAACAGGGCCAAAGTTGCCTGAGAGCAAAAACCAACAACGGACCCGAAATGCGTGTTAGCTAACTAATAGGTCATATTAGCTAGCTAACTATTAACTGTTATTAGCTAGTTTGATCCAACTAGTGAAATAATTATTGGCTGGACATTTACCTAATAATTAGTTAGACTATTAGCTGGATCTAGAGGAGCTAATTATTACTACGAGCTAACTAATAACTCTATGAGTTTAAGTAGGACTTTAGTTTCCTACTAGTCTATCAGTCAAAGGTTTGTTTGGAACATAGAAATTTCACATGAGAACGCTATAAATCTAGGCCCTGATCGCTTGAGCTACTTTTCAGTCATGGAACAATGTTTTTTATTTATAATATTTCAGCATAAACATCAGCATAAACTAAATTTTAGCGTAAGCGAACATGACCCTAAATTGAATGATAATTAATCTTGGCTACTTTTTGCTTGCACTCCCATACTCTGCTCTTCTGCTCTGCTTCGACAGGCGTCGCCGGCGTCAGAGAGAGCAGAGAAGACAACCTGCCTGCCTGCCTTGGGACTGCAAGCGCGGCGCCGCCATCAGGACACGGCGCGTCCAACATGTGTTGGCAGCTGACGCAGCCACACTGCCATGCCACTGCAACGCTACTCCCGGTCCCGGAGGTAGTAGAGGTTGGCAGGTGGGGAGGCGCGTCCGTGTCCGCCGTCCACCTGTCACCTGCCTCCTCACGGCGGCATGCCACGTAGGCGGCGGCACAGCGAGACCTGCACCTGCACACCACCACACCGAGATGGCGGAATGCCAGGCGAGCATGAGCAGAGCACAACGGCGGGGGAGGGGGAGGCCGGGCCGGGCCAGCCGGACGGACGGGAAGCACGCACGCACGCGCCACGCAACAGCAATGGCAGTTGGCAGAGCAAAACCCCCCGCCAGCCCCACGGCCACCACTCTATAAAAACCCTCCTCTCCCGTGGCCCCGTCGTCTCGCCGCCAGATTCACCGCCGCGTCTCCCCTGCACCGCGCTGCACCACCACCACCGTTCATCGAGGAGGGGGACGGGACGGGACGGAGACCACCATGGACATGGAGAGATCTCAGCAGCAGCAGCAGTCTCCGCCGCCGCCGCCGCCACCGTCGCCGTCGTCCTCCTCGTCCTCCGTCTCCGCGGACACCGTCCTCCTCCCTCCGGGAAAGCGGCGGAGGGCAGCGGCGACGGCCAAGACGACGGCCAAGGCCTGTGCCAAGCCTAAGAGGGCCCGCAAGGACCCCGCCGCGGCTGATCCTCCTCCCGCCGCCGCCGCCACCGGGAAGAGGAGCTCCGTCTACAGGGGAGTCACCAGGTACGCGTCTCTCGCCTGCATGCCTTCCCTTCCCACCGCTTCAATTCCGGCCGCCGGCGGCCCACGGCTCCCTCCTCCCGATCCCAGACAGTCAGACACCCACACCCGTCGCCCGCGGATCCTGCATTGCCCTCAAAGTTCGCTTCTTTCTTCCGCACTTCACTCACAGCAACCGGAGTTCCGATCCCATCTCCACTCCAGCCCTGCTCTGCCGCAGGTGCGCCGGCGGCTGCGCTTCCCCACCACCGCCCGCCGCCAGATTGCTCCCTCCCTCCCTTCCTTCCTCCACCCTGCGATCGCCTTGGAGCGCGAAACCTTCAGTTGCACACATGCATGTCACATCCGCCGCCGCCGCCGCCAGTCCCTGCTCGTTCCACCGCTCGTCGATCGAACATGCCGCGGCTGGCGGCTCCTTTGCTGTTCTCCCCGTCTGCCCAGCCCAGCCCATGCCGTCTCTTTCGTCCCCGCTGCTCCCGCCGGCTCCATTTCCACGCATCGCTTTCAGCAAGTCAGAGGACGAAAAGAAGTCGTTTTCTGATCGCTATACTAGTAGCCAATAGAGTAGGAAAAGTTGGTTCATCTGCATTGCTGCCATCCTTCTTGTTGGTGCTCGATTAATTTCTCCCTTCAGGTTTCTTCTTTCTTTCTTTCTTTCTTTTATGTACTTATTACTTGTGCCTTGTTTAGATACCTTCAAAATTCCAAGTTTTTTCACTCTTTCTCCATCACATCAATCTTTAGTCATTTACATGGAGCATTAAATGTAGGTAAAAAAAATAACTAATTACACAGTTTAGTTGGAAATCACGAGATGAATCTTTTGAGCTTAGTTGGTCCACAATTAGACAATATTTACTAAATAAGACGAAAGTGCTACTATTCATTGTGTTGAAATTTTTTTCAATCTAAACAAGGCCTTGGAAATAAGAAGGAAAAAATGGAAATTTTAATGCCTCTGCTGCTCACCAACATTCATTCATTCATACGCGTCGCGCTGCATGTCAACACTCAACAGGCACAGGTGGACGGGCAGGTTCGAGGCGCATCTCTGGGACAAGCACTGCCTCGCCGCGCTCCACAACAAGAAGAAAGGCAGGCAAGGTGTGTACTGTGCTGCTACTTCTTTGTTGCTACAGTATCATCCATAATTCATCCATTCCCACACATAATATATTACCTGAAGGAACTTGGAAATACTGTTGTCTTCTTCTGAAGATGAAAAATGGCCCCTTTTTCATCTTGTTCATTCAGTATTTTCTCAAAATAGGAACATAATCAATCTTATATACAGGATTAAGCAGTAATGGTGTGCTACTACTACCATAACAAAACCAATACTAGGAACCCAACTGAGGTCCTTTGTCCTGTGCAAGGATCCTAATGCATAGCGATCCGTTTTTTTTTCAAAAGTGCACCGAATTTCTTAAGGCTGACATTCTGATCAGGCTTTGTTTATCTCCTTTTTTTTTTCTTCTGCCATCTTTGTGGGGGGTCCCCTTTGCGTTGCGCCGGTGATCTGCATGTGGCTGTGATCTACTGCTGGCTGCATCCCTCAATAGTCTATCTGGGTAAGTCCCACAACAAGCCCCCCTTCCCTTCCCTCCTAAATATATCTACGTCGTGCTTGGTCATGCCTGCCAGATTTCATTTCATGTTACTTGTCGCCAGACCGTGCTGTGATCTGCGTCCTTGTCTTAATGCGGGCGGAACCGGGATTAATTTGGTCAATTATACATGATCTGCAGGGGCGTATGACAGCGAGGAGGCAGCTGCTCGTGCCTATGACCTTGCAGCTCTCAAGTACTGGGGTCCTGAGACCCTGCTCAACTTCCCTGTAAGTTCCTCCTGCACTGCTGCTCGTCTGCTCTTATCCTAGGAACACAAAACTGTCGGCCCTGCTTGCTTGTACTCTGTCTCTGAAGAATTGTCTGTTCCTTATATTTACATAAAAGGCAAGAATTGGCATTGTTTGCACCAAAAATAAGTTAGTGTTCTGTTCCTCATATAATTAGCAAGAGCCAGCCAGGATGTTATGTATCCTGTATTCCTGTTCATGCATGGCAACAAACGCATTGTGCATGGCCAAAGAACCCAGAGGAAGGGACTGAAGGGGAAATGGATTGTTTTGTTATTTTGCTGAAATATTTATGAACGAGACAGGCAGCTGCTAGTAGTAACAAATGAAGGTGACACTGAGCAATGAGCTCACAACCCCTGTCGGCTTGTTGCAGCTACTCCTACTAGTAGTAGGAACCATGGCATTATGTAATGAAAACGCGGACAAGACTAGCCTCCATTAATGTGTGGTCGTAAGCAAGCAGAGCGGGAGTAGTAACTGGTCGTCAAAGTTTGTTTGCGGTTCCTATGCGTGTTAACAGTAGGCGGAGTACTAGTATATTAGATGAAATCAGTCGGATAATTAAGCATGATGATTTGACTGAATGACTGATGCAGGTGGAGGATTACTCCAGCGAGATGCCGGAGATGGAGGGCGTGTCCCGGGAGGAGTACCTGGCCTCCCTCCGCCGCAGGAGCAGCGGCTTCTCCAGGGGCGTCTCCAAGTACAGAGGCGTCGCCAGGTGCTTAATCCCTAGTGTTAATCTACTGCATTATACTAATCTTGATTTGAACACCTACATCGTGACTTGATCACCTATTGTTAGTTTAAACCCTCTCACTAGACACTACTCCCCCCGGCGTCCGGATCACCTATTGTTAGTTTAAACCCTCTCACTAGTCACTACTCTCCCCATCCCATAAAAAATATCATTATCGCTTCCTGAGAAATCGAAAATTATGAACTCTGAACAAGTATATATAAGAAAATCTTATTTATGGTACATAATAAGTATCATTAATAGATTACTAAATATATTTTTATAATAAACTTTTTTATAAATAAAAATATTAGTAATATTTTTTTATAAACCTAATTAAACTTATGAAAGTTTGACTGACACTAATTCCATAACATCATTTTGTTTTTGGGACGTAGGAGTAGTTGCTAGTAGGATCTATCATTCATGTAGAATGTAGTACTCTGCTAGCTCACATGCACTGACCATGAAACACACCTGGCAAGAAGCTGTGGAGCTTCAAGTGCCAAAAATGGATGGCACTGATTGTGAAATGGGGTCCAGGTTGCACACTGACTGACTCACGTTGGTGTTCTCTAGTTGGGTGACACGGCACAAGATGAGGTCCACCTGTAACGTCAGAGCCATGCATCACCTGGGCCTGTGACACGTCACACACGACAGCCATGTCATGCATGTATGCATTCATGACTCATCACTCGTCAGGCATTGTGTTGTGCACCTAGAAAAAATGCCAGCTCTGAACTGCATGCATCACAGACTACTGATTTTTTTTAAACCAGTGCACCATTCTTCAGAGATGCATGCCTTCAATTCATTCAGTTTATATAAGTTAAAAAAGAATGGAATTTTTTATGTTCTTGTTGTTTTGATTGATGGTCTAGGCATCACCACAACGGGAGGTGGGAGGCACGGATTGGGCGAGTCTTTGGGAACAAGTACCTCTACTTGGGAACATTTGGTATGGATGGACAAGCAGTGTACTATATTCCTCAATGATATCTATAGTTTCATGCTCTTTGCACTTCTTTTAACAAATCAGTTTATGCCAGCATTTAAGTGCCACTCTTGTTTGTTGTGGAATTGTCCTACTTACTGCAAAGACCACCTAACTTTAACCAGTTTTTATGAAGATTGATCAACCTAACTCCTACACAATTCAATGGCTCTTATCTCTTAGTTTGCCTTCAATGCAGGCTTGGCAACTCCCTTGCTATATTGCCCCTATTCAGACATGGTGATCCTAACTGCAATGTCTCTTTTTTTTTTAAAAAAAAAACAAAGATAAACACTGGATCTGATCATCCATCAAATCAGATCATACTACAGGAGCATAACACTGATGCACTTTCCCTGCCCAAAAATATTGTCCCTTTCTTGACTGTCAAGATCAAGACCATCAGACCAAGATACTACTGTCCTGTGAGCAATCCCCAGACGACTGATCCTCAACAGTCCAACTTGCCCTAAAAATTAGTGGCATAAAACTGGCAAACTGTTGGCTAATTACCAGCCAAAACTACATGACCCTCCAAGCTCATGTGACAAGCACGTGATGAGAGTAGTCACCACTCACCTGCCAGGCACTGCTAGTGGCAGTAATAATATGATGGTGCCTAGGGATCTTCAATTCCTCAGCACTGCCGACCTTTTCTTTTCTTTCTTTCTTTTTCACTTGTCTGCATGGCCTGGTGCAAGCGGTAGAGTCTTACCGCCTGTGACCGGAAGGTCCTAGGTTCGAGTCGCGGTCTCCTCGCATTGCACAGGTGAGGGTAAGGCTTGCCACTGACACCCTTCCCTAGACCCCGCATAGAGCGGGAGCTCTCTGCACTGGGTATGCCATTTTTTGTCTGCGTGACTCAGCAATAGCAGCCAGTGATCTCTTCACGTGCATCAAGCATGCCCTGTGTCAAAACTAGATCAAGATTCAAGATCCAGACCACAGATTTGCTTTCACCTCTATTACCATCATAAAAGGCTAGTGACAGAGGGAAACACAAAGGTTAACTAGTTGCACTGAGATTGGACATGTCCAGTGACTGGCACATGTGCAAGTAAGCAGCCACCACCGTCCATTCAGATTAGTTAACAGCCATTGTCTGCAATTCAGTATCTCCCATTAAGCATAACCGTGTTCGAATATATGTGCATGTTGTTTTGTCAAACCAACAAAACTATACATTTCCCAGAATTGAATCTGTCACCAAATATTTTGTCCTATTTTTCTAGAGGCACTGTACTCTGAGAACAATGACACTTGAACAAACTTTGCATTGTGGAGTGTCTCAAGATATTTCGGTTTTCTAAACTTCTGTTTTTATCCACTTATAAACAAACTTACCATTCGTTCTCTTTCTGCAGACACTCAAGAAGAGGCAGCCAAGGCCTATGATCTTGCGGCCATTGAATACCGAGGTGTCAATGCTGTAACCAACTTCGATATTAGCTGCTACCTGGACCACCCACTGTTCCTGGCGCAGCTCCAACAGGAACCACAGGTGGTGCCAGCACTCAACCAAGAAGCTCAACATGATCAGAGCGAAACTGAAACTACAGCCCAAGAGTCTGTGTCAAGCGAAGAGAAGACACCGGATGACAATGCAGAACCTGATGAGAATGCAGAGCCTGATGACATCGCGGAGCCCCTCATCACAGTCGACGACAGCATCGAAGAGGGCTTATGGAGCCCTTGCATGGATTATGAGCTAGACACCATGTCAAGATCTAATTTTGGCAGCTCGATCAATCTGAGCGAGTGGTTCACTGACGCAGACTTCGACAGCAACATTGGATGCCTGTTCGATGGGTGTTCTGCAGTTGATGAAGGCAGCAAGGATGGTGTAGATCTGGCAGATTTCAGTCTGTTGGCAGATTTCAGTCTATTTGAAGCAGGTGATGGTCAGCTGAAGGATGTTCTTTCAGATATGGAAGAGGGAATACAACCTCCAACAATGATCAGTGTGTGCAATTGATTCTGAAACCTATGCGTGGCGTGCTTGCCTATGTGAGATATCCCCGAATTTTTTGTTTTTTAGCCATTTTTTTTTTAAAGTTTTTCACAAATATGCTCTTGGAGGTATGCTTTTAAAATCTGGACCCTTAGCTCGGCGTCATCGTTGGTGGCGCCGAGCTTACACGTCTCGGCGCCATAGATTTTGACGCCTAGGTCTTGAGCTCGACGCGGATGTGGCGGTGACTTGGCAGGCACTTTGGCGCCGTAAATCTTGGCGCCGAGCTTGACGCCGTAGATCTTGGCGCCGAGCTTGGCGCCGTGGTTATTGGCGTCGAGCTTGACGCCGTGGTTATTGGTGCCGAGAACGGCGCCAAGATCTATGGCGCCGAGGTGGTGTTTTAATTCGGCGCCCAACCTTCTTGCCCGAGCCTTCCTCCTCTTCTTTCCCCTCCCTCTCGGGTTTTTTCTCTCCCCACTTCGTCCAACCTCACGAATCGGCATATTGGACCTTAAAAACTTTGATTTGATCCCTAGATCTTCAAGAGCAAGGTATCCTCGTTTCCTTCTAGTTTTTTTTCAGATCGATTCGGTATATATTAGTCGGATTTTTCAACTTAAGAATCGTCATTACTTAGGGTTTCATACAATTTTAATATTTATATTATACAACCGTAGGATGCCAAGGCATGAAAAAGCTACCAAACCAAGGTAACCTCAGCGCACGTTGTTATGATATGGGTTCATTGTTGTGGATCAAATGGGAAATCCTAGATGTAGGATTTAATATTAATTGCTTTCGGTTCTTAAAACGAAAATGGCTCAACTGTAGTTATGGCCGGATGACTGGAAATGCCTTCGACCCATTGCCTCTGCCTAGTGGTGTTCCAGTGCCCATGTGCTTTTGCGGTGATCCTTACAAGGTAGCCAAGTCCGATGAAGAGGACACGTATAGGCAGAAGTATTGGATGTGTTCCAATTTTGCGTTTGAGTCTACACTTCGTCAGCGCCGCATTAACAAGATGGTGAGGAATTGATGTTTGTGTCATATGACATCTTGCATGATTTTTTTTGTTTTATAACAATTGCATTTTTTGCAGACCCCTCTACCGCTCTGTGATTTTAAGCAATGGATTGACACTGAGATTAAGCCTGAAGACAAGGAATGGATGCAGAAACTGTTACGGTGGGAGGCAGAGGACAGGGAGATGATGGAGAAGAGACGCAGAGAGGAGGCTGCAAAAAAGGAGCACAAGAAAGAGGAGAAAAGGAGGAGTGTTGCTGCGTACAGGGAGGAGAGGGAGAAGAAGCTTGAGCGTGCACGTCGAGCGAAAGCAACAATGGAGGAGAATCTCGATGCCCTGAGAAAGGAAAAGTGGCCTCGTTGCACTCAGTAGTCTCCATTACTTGCTAGTTCTATGGTTTATTCATGAACAATGTTGTCTACTGTTGGACTTTTCATTGTGTTGTCATATAAGGCATGCTTAGGTCATGTACTGCGTTATTTAGTTTGTCGGCACGTACTTATTGTGTTGTTTAATGTGTCATAGTATTGGACTTTTCATTATATAGTTGTTTTCATTATTTGTAGTCATAATATTCAGTTTAATATTGTGGACGTAGTGAAATATGATCACGTGCTGCAAATAAAACCTAACGAAGTAGGCCATTATATAATTCCACACACAAAACACATGAAATGTCATGTGAGAACATGTACCGAACTAGAGTACAGAGGTCCTGAATTAAACCTAACATGTCTTAGGTAATTGAAGAGAACAATAAGCATAAGAAATGGCATGTGACAACATGTACCAAACAAGGGTAAATAGCTCCTTCGACTAAACCTAAAATGCCTTAGGTAATTAAACCAAACAACAAATACATGAATGTGCCATGTGAATAAGATAGGGCTAACTTCCCTTTGTAGATCGAAGATTTGGTCCTACAGGTAGTAGATGTGCTGCTGATGCGGATAAATTGGTCGAGAATCGACCCACCTAGTGAACCCACAGTTTTTTCTTCGAACTCGGAAGACTACAATAAGTATGTCCTATGAGTTGTAAGGGTATTCGAGAAATATATTTAATAAACGAAATGTAATAGCAATTACACATGCTCGCGGGCATTTGAAGAAGCGACGACCTTCGTCAATCCCCTCGGTGAATATCTGCACTAAGTAGTCCTCACCATGCATGTATTTTAGCCAATCTTTCTTTCTGTTATCGTATCCTCTGAGAGGGCACTTTTGCTCTCGGGAAGAAACTGATACACTGGTTCCTCAAAGAAATTACGACCAAGAGACCCCTTCCACACAATGGGAGTTCCCTTTGTCCCCCCCTTTCCTCTCCTACTCCCGAAACCCTTTCCTTTAGATGACCTTCCAGACATTCCTACTCCAACGAAATCGAATACTAGTTTGGTTTTTCTTTTGGTTAGCGATATATCCTAGAACACATATATATAGACGGAGGTAGGTTTGCTAGCCGTTGTATTGTGCTGTAAATGCTCCTGGAAAGTCTATTCAGAATCACTAAAAAGCCTACATCGCAGGACACTGGAGAGCCTAAATTCCATGACTGAAAAGCCTATTCGATTTTAGACTTCAATCACTATTTTAAAGGACACTGAAAAATCTATTCGACGGTGACATGACAAATCACTGTAAAGGCTATTTTCCCTAAATTCCATGACTGAAAAGCCTATTCGATTTCAGACTTCAATCACTATTTTGAACCAGAAAAACTGATGCCGTTGATTAATACGTACTTTAGACAGAAAATTTCGCCATAATTTCCCCTATTTTTATGCCATCCATACACAAATATGAGATGAATATTTAACCTCAATACAACATGTACAAAAATACAAATATATGTCACATTTATCTGAAACCATATACATGAGCATATTAATAGTCCACACAGTCCATAATTATAGTCCATAGTAGTTCATATTCGATAATAATATTCCATACAATCCACAATAGTTCATAATGAAAGTCCACAAAGTCCATAATACTACATAATAACATCTACCACAAATCCTCACTACCTTCTAGTCTTACCCTTACCCTTGTGACCAAGAGCGTCGGTGCCTGGAGTGTAAGGGTCAGGTGGACAGCGTCGCCTAGTGCCTGAACGTTGTGTAGACTGAGTCGAGGAAGCGTCCTGGAGCTGAGATGGGCCAAGCTCCTCATGCCTCTGGTCCACCTCCTCGTCGTCCTCGTCCTCATCCTCATCCTCGTCCTCGTACGCAATGCCTATGGACACTGTAGGTGCTTGGCTAGACAAACCTAAGCCTCCTCTGCCTGCGAAAGGAACATGCACGTCTTGCGTCGTGGCTGTCCTACAACCACAACGAGCAGCCACACGGTGTAGCCGACGTGACAGTCTCTGTTGTACAAAATAATATTAACTGAAAGAATTTAACGTATTAATAATATATTTCAAAGAATATAATGAATCTTACGTCTAGAAAGCTACGCGTGTCGTCGTCCCTAACTCTTGGACGAAAGCTCTCAATGTCTTCAACTGAGCATTTGAGGGTATTGCCCTGCAACAAAGTTCATAGTAAGATTGTGGTGGACATTAAAAAATGAGGACGCTACTAATCTAGTACGGAGTACTAGTTAATTCCTGATCAGTTTCTCAACTCCATCTGTTGTACTGAATTATAAGGATGCTACGACTCGAAGGTGCCACTAACTAAAATAGAGACCTCAAACGCAGAATGTATTGGTATGCAACTTAACATAAAAAATAAGGCAATTGACTTACCACTCTGTCCAAGATTGGCCCTGCCTCCACCTGCCTTCCTACACGAGTAGTTTGGTCGTACGCCGTGTTTTCATCGTCGGAGGACTCGATGTCGACGTTGTCATCTTCTGTCCATTGTAGCCTCAGCCTGCAACGTGTCGCACGTTGGTACCAAGCTTGGTAGCGCCTGTACTCATGGTTCGTGTGCGGCTCGTTGTTCTCGTTCATGTTGTCGTGCAACAACTCCCATTGTTCAATGTAGTACTGGTGGTGCTTCTCCCAATCAAAAATCTTCCTGTTCTTCTGACAATCCAACCTGCACGTCACATAAGATGTTAGTTTCTGGCAGGTATGAAGTTGATGCTGTAGAACGATGGCGCCTAAGCTATATAACGTGACTATTTGATGTAAGCTTCTCAAGAAAGGTACAGAGTGATTAAAGAAATCATACGTAACAGTATCATCATATGTAAGCTTCACTATGGGAAATGTTACCATGTGGGTTCCAAAGAAAGAAGAGAAAATAGATCACGACATGGGTTGAACCCATAGTCCTATAACTTGCCATAATGATGAGAACAAGAAATGCCCATACACGCACATTCATCTCAATCCATGTACATGTTACCATATTAAAAGTGCACGTATGTCATCATTACTTCATATTATATAGGAATTAATGAAAATGGACCATCATGAGACAATTGAAATAGCAAAACACTTACTTGTGTAAGTCAACGCCAGTCGAGAACGGAGCCGTTGGCCAAAGCTGTCTCACTCCAAATTGGTGTGCAACTCTATCTGGTAGGTGGAACTCGACAGCATAGAAACATATTAGAGGGCACCTCATCCTGTAGAAGTCGTCGTCGCACCCACACATGTTGCTCAACTGAAAAGGAAGTGCCCCCTCTCCATCGTACGGCTCCCATGACACCTGCAACATGTCCAAACAAGATGTTAGATGCCATACTAAACCATTTCAAACCAGCATGGGAAATAAAATTTACTTACACTAGATACCGTGAGCGTGTCTAGCTCGTTCGTGAATTCAATGTACGCCCGCTCTAACCTCGCGTGCAGAACCCTAACCTGGTCCCAAAGGTACGCCCACGTCGGCTGCCGACGGTGAGGCTAACCTGGTAGACGAGCCCACATCCACAACTGGAGTAGGCACACGCATCCACCAAGTGACGATGAGGACGAAGTCCGACGACATGCCTCGCAAAGCTACCGGTAAAGAAAATCCAACACTACAGAGCCCCAG